GGTCCACGGCTAGCTAAAAAGTCATCTCAGAACAGGATGTCATTGTCATCCTAGAAGGGGACCCTCTGACCTTCTCCTACATGGTTTTAAACAATCACTTGAATAAAAACAGAGGATGTGCTTTTCAAATATGAAGATGACACAAAGGCATGTGAAAAAGCTAATATGCAAGATGCAAGACACAAAATTCAGGTGGGACAAAACCACTAAGAATAAATTAAATGAAAATAAATGGGAAGTCTTATATCCAACAACAAAAGGAAGAGAACGCAAGCCTTAAGGCTCAGGGGGAGGCAGGCAAGAGTGCAAAGTAGTTCACTCTGACTGAAGGAAAGGGTTCCTTCTACACATTTAAAAAGAGCAAATCTACTTACAAACAAACCAAGATAAAAAACACCAAGAAAGCCTGGTTGAAAAAGCCATAGATACCAGCACTGGCTCTGGATGACAGAGAAGAGCTTTTGCTCATTGTCTTCTTGTTATTGCTGCTTGCACTCAGTTTCCTGGGGTAGCTCTGTTTGTGTTCCAGAGACGACGCAGAAGAGGAGCTGCTGATAGATCCGTGCAGGGTAACTAACACAGGTAACGGAAAAGAACACATCAAAGGGTGGAAAACAAGAAGTGGACCAATAAGCTTTTCCAGGCAAATCTTTCTGGAACTCTCCATTTAGCTTCCTCAAGTATGAATTATCTAGTGTCAAATTAAATGCCTGATTTCATCCAAATATACGGTAGTTTACACATAAAAGATTTTATATCACAAGCAATAGTATTTTAAGGATTCACACTTTAAGATCACCATCTTACACAGGAGGTGTCTCCATATCAATTAATGTAAACTGCTCACCTAATCTAACCACCACTAGCACTCACCTCTCACCTTAGACGAGACAGTGGAGTCCCATCTTATATATACAAAAAACAAAAAATGCTATTAGTGTGTTTTAAGGTAACAAAAGTTTAATATTAGAATGTTTTGAGTTAAACCAGAAGGCAAGCAGGAATATTCATGCTGTATTCACCTAGCAATTTGGTAACTAAAGGCAACTTAAACATTTTTGTCAAGACATTTGTACCATGGAAGTTCCTTTTATGCCCTCTTTTAATCTATTCCAGTAGCTCTCTAATTTAACTAAGATATATGAATCACAGTACAGACTTTTATACAAAAAAATGTATATATTTTATTATGTGCTGCTTAACGGATTGTCAAGGGTAATTTTTACCAACTCTAAAACTTAAGCCCCAAATAAACTATTTTCCTACTATTATTTTAAAGTTCCATCAGAAATTAAAATTTGAGAAACAGAAATTATAAGTTAGATTACCGTCTTTCTCTGTTACAGTTTTTGATTCTTCACTGGGAGGGAATGGAAGTGTTGATTCAGAAGCATTATCTTTTTTTGATGACATTGATCCTAGGACACGAAATAAAACACTTTCAGGAAGAATTCTGTTTAACATTAAAACTGTATTTTTTAAAAACACACACATCCTTAATTATCTAATCTTACCCACTTGTGAAAACATGTTGGATAGTAAATTCATAGACAGCAGAGACCAATATTTATTGAAAGGACAAAGAAAAGAATGCATTCCCAGCCAATCTGAAAACCCCAATTTCCACAAATATCACTAAAATGTATTTTTAACCTACATAACAATCCACTAAGGACTGAGGGTTAGGTCATATTTCTTCCAGAGAATACTGGTGGTATGATCAGGAAGAACCGAGGTAGGAACTCTGGTGGGACAAAAAGAAAATCCCAAAGACACAGAGAATGGTGGGTAGCTTGGCTGGAACAGAGTACTTCTGACAGACTAGACAGACAAGTCTCAGTAAAACCTCAGAGGGTAGCAGTGCCTGGCTAAGGAACTGGAACTCTTACAGTACAGAATAAGCTTCTGCTGGGCTTTGAAAAGGAGGACTGGCATGAACAGAATTCTAGTTCAGTAACATTCTCTTGACAGCAAGGTCTAGAAGGAAACCAAAGGAGGGGAGGCTGGTAGCAGGAACCAGCCAGAATTTATTAAAATAGTCCAGGTATGAGAGTCTGAACTAGACCAGCACAAACTGGAGGGGGTGGGTTAGGGAGATTTTTATGAAGGCAACCTGCAGAGTGAATTTCTCATTTTTCAGTTATTTTTCTGTTCTAAAATATCCATTTGGTTCTTTTTATTTGAATTTTTATTGAAATAATTGGAGATTCATATAAAGTTGTAAAAAACATATAAGGAGATCCCTTGTACACTTTGTCCAGCTTCCCCCAAGGTAACATGCTGCAAAACCACAGTATAATATCCCAACCAGCACACTGACATTGACGCAATTCACCAATCTTAGATTACCACAGGTTTACTTGTACTTGAGTGTGTGTGTCTGTACACACGTGTGTATCATTTGGTTCTTTTTCATATATTCTACTTCTCTGCTGAAACTTTCTTTCCATTTGTTTCAAGAACGTTCACCCTTAATTCTTGCAGCACTGTTATAATAGTCTTTAAAGTCTTTATATCTTCATTGCAACATGTGTGTCATCTCAAAGCTCCCACGCTTTGTCTTTTTCCTTGTGAGATGTGGAGAGCTTTTTGGTTTGTCATGGTACACTAGGTCTTGTTGAAATCATATGGAGTATGTTGATTGTTTTGTTTTGCTCTAGCAGGTAGTCAACCCAGGTAGGTTCAGGCTGGAATTTCCTGCCCACCTTCTGTGCACTGTGGTCCCAATGTCAGTTCAGTTTCCACCACCTTTGCTGAGCTACTTGGATCTGTCCCATGTGTTGTGCTGCCCAGTAGTCAGTCTGGGACCTAAGCAGCGGTCTACCAAGGAGACCAAAGCCTTTGGTTAGATCCGTACAGGCATAACTCGGAGCAGGCCTAGGAGCTCACATCCAGCATTCTGAGGTCACTTTCTTGAGCCCCTCTCCATGATCTCCCTGACGCTTCCTGCTCCAGAGCCCCCCTTCCTCATATTTGGAGTAGAATGCCCAGGCTTTCATTTCCTGCACTGTCATCCAATCTCCTGAGAATGATTCTGCCTCTGTGGCCAAGCAGTGAGAAGACAGAAGAAAAACCAAAGGGAATTCCATCCATGTTCTTGGGACCACAGTTTCTCTGGTCAGAGACAAGGGTTCCCCCTCCTTGGGGGTCTAGGTGCCTGCGCATGCACTGCTGCTGCTGTACCACGCAGGACTGCTGGGGACTGCAGTGGGAGAGAACCAAGGGGGGAAAGAGCAAGCAAGAAAGAAAACGGGGGATTTCTTCCATGTCCTGTCTAATAGGAGACCTCCCTTCTGCTCCCCAGACCACAAATAGAGGGGGCTACTCTTGGAGCTTCCTGACATACCCACTGTGTACTTCCGAGTTTCAGCTTAAAGGGATACCATCTATAACAGCCTCAAAAAGTATGAAGTACCTAGGAATACATCTAATGAAACAGGTATAAAATATCTATAGAAGATATTATATAATCTTATTAGGATATTTTTTAAGTACCTAATTAAATAGAAAGATATTTCAAG